TAGAATTGGTTTACAAGATCATGAAGTATTTGTGAGAACTTAGTAAGTACATTGAGAAGGCAATGTAAAATTTTGTTAGACATTGCATTTTTAAGAAATTATCTGTGCTTATAGTTTATAGATAACTCTTACAATACATCTGTACACAAGACTCTTTATGTTATTAAATCTGTAGTAAAACACATATTAAAATCTTCCAGTTAGGCCATAAGAATCTGATGTCATAGTTGCCTCATGTGTTCCTATTATCGTTATAGTTTAAAAACATTTCTATGAAAAAAATTCTACCTTGAAATATAAAAAAAGTCACCTAAACCAATAGAGTTAAGGCTTATTTTAAAATATATTGTGAACTAATACATTAGTATAGTAATAATGTTAGTAGAAATATTATAGTAGAAGACCTTGCTTATTTCTAAACTACAGATTAGTATAAAGATACATTTTAAAAAGCACATTAATATGTGAAAAACTGTAACATGAAACATTAAATGATAGTATAAAATGTTATGGTCAACTTTGTAAACTAATACAGATATATAATAAATAAGTTACAGTTATTGTTTGTTCATATATCATAAGGGAAATTTATATATTCTTTCATAAGGAAAGAATAATCTTGAGATGGTAAAGAACCTTTTTAATTCATTCACATGAAGTATATACAAAACAATTTTGATTCATTCGGGTTTAAGAACAATAAGGATAATATTAGTTTATCCCTATTATAGATTATTGAACTGAATATTTTTAATATATATTTTAAATTTTATTTATTAATGTATGAGCGCTCTGCTGCATATACATTCAACTGCCTGAAGGCGGCATCAGATCCCCCATAGATGGTTGTGAGCCACCATGTGATTGCTGGGAATTGAACTAAGAACCTCTAGAAGAGCAGCTCTTTTTTTTTTTCTCTCTTTTTTTTCCTTATTTACATCTCAAATGCTATCCCTTTCCTGGTCAGCCCTCCCCCCCCTCGCAAAACCCCTATCCCATCTCCCCTCCCCTGCTTCTATGAGGGTGCCATCCTCTGTTATATATGCGGCTGGAGCCATGGGTCGCTCCATGTACAGTCACCAAACCCAGACACTGTCGTGGATGCCAAGAAGTGCATGCTGACAGGAGCCTGATATAGCTGTCTCCTGGGAGGCTCTGTCAGAGGCTGACTAATACAGAGGCAGATGCTCGCAGTCAACCATTGGACTGAGCACTGGGAACCCAAGGGAAGAGTTAGAGATACTACTGAAGGAACTGAAATGATTTGCAACCCCATAGGAAGAACAATAATATCAAGCAACCAGACCCCACCCCCCCGCAGGGTTCCCAGGCACTAAACCACCAACTGAAGGGCAGCTCTTAACCACTGAGCCACCTCATCAGCCCAAGTGAATGGAATATTAAAAGGTAGAATTTTTCCAAAGACTGTAGAGCTAATGCTCACAGTAGTCTGGTTCATTACCTGGTTTTTTCTGATGAGTACAGTACATGCCTCCCAAGTGAAACTGTGACTCTTACTGCTACAAACAGATCAAGACCTAGTACCATGCTCTTTCATAATATCTATATGATGACAACAACGTTTACATTTTTGTTCTTTGGTACTTCATCTCAAGTAATTGTCTTTTTTGTTTGTTTGTTTGTTTGGTTGGTTGGTTGGTTGGTTGATTGGTTTGGTTTTTCGAGACAGAGTATCTCTGTGCAGCCCTGGCTGACCTGGAACTCACTCTGTAGACCAGGCTGGCCTCGAACTCAGAAATCCGCCTGCCTCTGCCTCCCAAGTGCTGGGATTAAAGGCGTGCGCCACCACCGCCCGGCTTGCCTTTTTCTAATCACGTTTCTGTACTATCTATGATCACGGTTCCTGTCAGAAATATCTATTCTGCCAAAGCAACTATACTACACAATTCTTTATTAGCCCAGCTTCAAATGAAGGTTCTTGTTTCTAGATGAGAACATTCCCAACCAGTTTCCAAGCAGCTTTCCTCCAAGCACGGCATTTCTTCAAAATTGATAGCTTCGTGTCGTGTTACTCTGATTGGCACATAGCCTGGAAATGAAGTCTCAGACTGTGGTACCTCATCTTATGAACCACTTCACTCGAGGACACAGTAGGAGAGCCAGGCTGCATTTGGATTTTACACAGCCCAATTCTAAAAAGCTAATAGGCTGATTTCTTTCAGGGAGTGGGTCCTCTGAGTCCTTCCTGAGAAGTGGCTCTGCATCACTGCTCTGCTGAAACCTAATGATCTTCAGATACCACATTCCCTCGAAGGAAGCATCTTTAATTGGAGAAAGTAGAAGAGATAACAACTGGGCCAAGTTTTCTCTAAGGATCTCAAGCTGCTCACAGATTGTTTTTTAGTTCTCTGCATCTTGCATTCTTTGACCATCCCCAAACTCATATAAGTCACCTTTTTAAAGAGTGTCGGATTATAAATAAGAAATTGTTTTCTATAAGGATTTCATAATCATATTTTAGAAGCTGGTGGTGTTATAGCCAGCACAACAGACGGACAGCCTATACTGAATCTCTTTATGACAATCACAGTTTGACAACAAAGACATGGATCATTCACAATCCACCAGCATTAACTTCCATCACGGTCTCTGAGCTGGTTCCTGAGTCCTTCTGAGACCTCCCCTGTCTCCCCAGTACTCCTCTCTTGTGTACTTTTCAGGAATGTGTTCTTCTAACTGGCATTGTACTACAAACCATGCTGTAGACTCACACCATGCTTCTTAGCACAGAACACATTTCTCTGAGACATTTGGCTGCTACCTTCTTATTTCATACAATATCGCATCCTGTCACCCATCGGAGAGAATTTCACTGATTGTTTCCACCAAGCTCTGAATGCTGAGGCTTGATTACCCTTCTCCAAAGCCCTGACCACTGAGTAGTGTGTTGCACAGTGCACTGTATCACTTATATTTAAGAATATAAGCTCCATGGATAGTAAAATGCTGGATATTCCTGAAATTCCAATGCTGGAAAAATTATTAAAAAGAACACAAAAGTTTATGTTGAGTTCATTCATAAATGAGTTAAATTACATATCCATAATGTTCAAAACTGTTTAAAAGTTCAGAATTGTCAGCAGCTTCTACTTGTATTTGTTGTTCAGTGCTTACTTCTCCTCAAAAGTGTTTTCTTTTGAAGTATTCCCCTTTGCCAATTATGCATAGATTCAGGAAAAGTACTCATCAGAACATACTGTTCCTTTAAGATTTGTCAAAGGGTGTCATTTCCCTTCACAACACTCACAAATAATATTAAATATTTTGGTTTGGCTCTAACCAAGCAAGTGAAATCTGTACAACAAGAACTCCAAATCTCTGAAGAAAAAAAATCAAAGATGATCTCAGAAGATGGAAAGATCTCCCATGCTCTTGAATTTTGACAGAATTAATATAGTAAAAATGGCCATCTTGTTGAAAGCAATCAATAGATTTAATTCAATCCTTATTAAAATTCCAAGTCATTTTTTTCATGGAGTTACAAAGAGCAATTTGCAAATTCATTTGGAATAACAAAAAATCCAGGACAGGGAAAAGTATTCTCAACAATAAAAGTACTTCTTGGGGAATCACCATGCCTGACCTAAAGCTGTACTACAGTGCAATAGAGATAAAAACTGCATGGTATTGATACAGAGAAAGGCAGATAGATCAGGAGAATAGAAATGAAGACCCAGAAATGAAGCCATACAACTATGGTCACTTGATCTTTGACAAAGGAGCTAAAACCATCCAGTGACGGGTCGGGGGAAAGACAGCATTTTCAACAAATGGTATTGATCTAACTGGAGGTCAGCATGTAGAAGAATACACATCTATTCATTCTTATCTACTTGTAAAAAGCTCAAGTCCAAATGGATCAAGGACCTCCATATAAAACCAGATACACTGAAATTAATAGAAGAAAAAGTAGGAAAGAGTCTCGAACACATGGGCACAGGGGAATATTTCATGAACAGAACACCAATGGCTTATGCTCTAAGACCAAGAGTTGATGAATGGGACCTCATAAAATTGAAAAGTTTCTGTAAGGCAAAGGACATTGTTGATAGGATAAAACAGCATTTCTTGTTTCAGAAATGCACAGCTCACTATGTATCTTGGTTGGAACTTTGACATATTAAGCAGAGCAAATGCACTATGCCTAAAGATAGTAAAATGAAAAAGAAACACATGGACACATACACAGATATAAAAATGCACATTATTTAAGCCACCAAGTATATAATAATTTAATAAACAATAATACTAAAGCACTAGTATCAAGCAGGCAAGGAGAAAAGGCAAATTTTATAAAAGTGCAAAGACTGATTTCAGTACACGTATTGTTCTAACAACTCACCATATCTGTCTCAAAGAACTGCCATGAGAATTAGATGTTTGTATATAAACATATAGGTATGTAACAATAATTAATTAAAAGGTGGCCATTAATTTGAAAGAGAGTGAGGAGAGTTACATGAGAAAATTTAGAGGAATGAGGAGTGTTAGATGATGTAATTTTATTATAATCTCATTTTCTTCCCTGTCTATGTGTTCTTCCCCTCTCCCTTTCTCTTCTTTCCACCACTAAGCAGTGGTGTCCCAGTTACGAGACAAAATGTTTCAGGAAATGACAGGTAATAAAAGTTAAGTGTGTTTAAAGGGTGTGTGATGGAAAAGACAGTTGAAGTTCTGTGAAAAGTAATCAACTATTCAAAAACTAATGAAATCATAAGCATAATTTTTTACTCAACATGAGTACGGACTACATGCTTTTCTTGAAACATGAAACTAAAAACTGGTAGCTATTCACAGCTTGCCATGAATACTGAGTTCATGAAGGTTGTTGCCATAGAACAGGCTCCAAGCCTTCCTCTTCTGATCCAATCACTCATGCTAAGTCATGAATAATGCACATGCATTTTCAAGCAACCAACTGAAAACAATGAGTCACGATAGTCTTCGGTGAAATAAATTGTTCCGTTAAGAATACTCACAGCTTCTTTAAGATACCTAAGAACTCCAGAAACTTCTCTTCTGATATTTCTTCATCAATCCTAGGGCCACCACGTGCTTCTCTGAGATACAGAGATATGTTGTGTGACTTACGATGGAGTTTTCTTTCTTCTACCTTTAAGCCAGATTTTCTGAACAAGGAAACAATAATAGTATTTCACAATACATAAAAAGTTTACATAGAGTTTTAATTTACTCTCAATAGTAGAAATGCATTGTTTGATAATAAGTTAACATTTGAATAGCATTCTTTCTGAGTTCTTCTTTTTTTTCAGTTACTAATGGAGGTATATTTGTACTCCATTGTACACTAAGTTTAAAGTTAATGTATTTATTTTTACCATTTAATTTGATTATGTTATAACCTCTAAACATTTAACATATATAATTCACAGAAAATTTTCAAACCAATAACTATTCTTCCCTTTCCATACAACAGACATATTTATCAGTGGTTTTGGCACATAGAACAACTTTTTAATTGTCATTTCCCAATTATAAACTACAAACACCTTAAAAGTAGTCACCACAATCATATTCATTTTCTATGGCTTATTATACACTGTAGTCTTCCAATAAATGTAGAAAATAGTGATAACCTGAACTCTTTCTGGTTCATTTCTCCAAGATTTTATGTTGTTTTTGAAAGTGTAAGAAACAGAGATTAAAATGCAATATTCACCTTAGAAAAGAAAATAGGGAATAAAATAAACAAAACAGGAACAAATTAATTCCTGAAAATAGATTAGGTCATTTATATAATTGGAATCAATTTAGAAGTTAAGTAAACTTAACTTCTTGTGGAATAACAGCAGTAAACTATCCCATTAACATCTAGCATTTGCTGCATTATTAAGTGTGCTGGTTCCTCTGCTGTGCGTTATATATACATTATCTTATAACATTAGCACAACACTTCTCTAATACTTATAAACTAAGGAAATTTCAGGAGGTGTACTATTTCTTCAAAGAGAGACACATACAGAGATAGAGGTACTCGACAACAACAAAAAAATAGAGACATAGAAGAAGCACACATCCAGTTCCCCTAGCTGGGCACCCTTTTCTGACTTCAGTAAGAGAGGATGTGCCTAGTCATGCAATGACTTGATGTGCCCCTCAGTGGAGAAAGAGGAAGGTGGGAAGGATCTGTGTGAGGGGGTACTGGAAGGAGATGGGGTACTGATATTGGGATGTGAAATGAATATATTAATTAATAAAAAAGCAGCACAGAAAGGCAAAGATATGTTAGCTGAGATATATAAGACAAAAATGAGACAAATCAAAAAACATAATAGGTATTAAGACAAGACAGAGAAACAAGAACATATTTTTAAAAATATAAACATCCCCAAATTGGAAAAATCTAAATACATGTATGAATAAATGTGTACTTTTCTCAGTATATACCACAGGAAAAAAAATTCAAGAATAGATAAGTAATTTATATCTATAACCCCAAAAGAAATAGTGGAAGTAATTACAATACTCCCAACCAAAAGAAAAAAGTCCAGGATTAGAAGGTTTTAGCATAGATTTCTACAAAATTTTCAAAACATAATTAATGCCAATACTCCTTAAATTATTTGGCAAAACCGAATCATTAAGAACAATGCCCATTTCTTTGTATGACTCTAGCTACCCTGATATCTAAACCATATAAAAATCTAACAGAGTTACAAACCAAATTTGCAAATCCATGAACATTTTAGAAAGTTCATACCCCATGATCAATCAGGCTTCATCCTAGAGATGTGGGGATCATTCAACATTTATTATTTGATAAGCGTGATCCGTCACACAAACAAACTAAAGAAAAAAGAATGATTTTCTCAGTTGCAGAAAAGACATTTGACAAAATCTACCCCTTCATGATAAAAGTGACGGAAGGGATAAGAGTAAAGATCCTTGCCTGCAAGCCCACAGCCAACATGAACCTAAGAGGAAAGTGTTTATTCTGCTTGTGCTTCCACATTATGACTCATCATCAAAGGAAGCCAAGACAGGAACTCACGCAGGACAGGAGGAACATGGAGGCAAGATCTTGTGCAGAGGCCATGAAGGGGATCTGCTTAGTGTCTTGTTTAACATGGTTAGATCAGTCTGCTTTCTTATAGAAACCAGGACCACCAGTCCAGTGATGGCATTATACACAAAGGACTGAGCCCTGCCCCATCAGTCAATAATTAAGAAAGTGCCCTACAGGCTTATGTACAGTGGACCACATGAAAGTATTTTCTTAATTGAGGATCTTTTGTTTCAGATAACCTTAGAGTGTATCAGGTTGACATAAAACTATCCAGCACACAGATTAATATCAAAATGTATAAAGGACAACATATATGGACATCAAGAAAACAATCCAATTAAAAAGTGGGTGCAGATCTGAGAAGACTGTTCTCATAAGAAGAAATACAAATGGGTAAGAAACACCAAAGAAGTATTCAACACCTTTGTTATCAGGAAAATGCAAATAAAAACTACTTTGAACGTTCATTTTATACCAGTCAGAATGACACGATCAACAAAGCAAATGACAGCTCATGCTGCCAGGATGAGGAGTAAGGGGCGCAGTCATTGATTGCTGGTGGAGTGCAAACCTGTGGAGCTACTACGGAAATTACTTTGTGTATAGTCCCTCAGGAAGAAGAGAATCAATCTACCTCAAATTTCAGTTATACCATTATTGGCCATACACCAATAGGATTCTAAATTCTACTACAGAGACACTTACTTAGCCTTGTTCATTAATGGTTTATTTATAATAATCAGAAATTGGAAATGAAATACATATTCATGAGTGGATGAATATATAATGAAAACATGACATATTTTCACAGTGTATTATTACTAAGCAGTTTAAAATGAAACTATGAAATTCACAGTTAAATGGATGTAGCTAGAAAAAAATTACCCCAAGTAAAATACTCCAGACCTCAAAAGATAAATATGGTATTTATTCATTTACATGTGGATGTATAACCACAGAGATTAGGTAGAGAGTAAGTTGCTGGAGGGTTGGTTGAACCATCCTTGGAAGGGGAAAGAGAATAGATAGCTATGGGTGGAAAGAGGGTGCTGCTGGAATGAGAAGATAAAATGGGAAGGGATGAAAAGAGTTAGTGAGAAAGGATACACAGTGAGAGCTAAAACAAAAAAAAAAAATTAAAGGAACCTGATATAGCTGTCTCCTTAGAGGCTCTGTCAGAGCCTGACATATCCAGAGGTGGATGCTTGCAGCTAACCATTGAACTAATCATGGGGTTCCCAATGGAGGGGTTGAGAGAAAACTAAAGGACCTGAAGGGGTTTGAGGCCCCATGAGGAGAGCAACAATACCAACCAACCAGAGTTCCCAGTGTCTAAACCACCACCTGGAAGCACATAGGGAGGGACCCATGGCTCCAGCTGTAAATGTAGTGGAGGATGGCCTTGTTGGACATTGGTGGGAAAGGTGGTCCTTGATCTCATGAAGGCTGGATGCTCCAGTGTAGGTGAATTCAAGGGTGGGGAGGTGGGAGTGGATGGGTGAGTGGGGCATACTCTCATAGAAGCAGGAGGAGAGGGGATGGGATAGAGGGCTTCTTGGGTGGAATGGGGAAAGGGATAACATCTGAAATATAAATAAATAAAATATCCAATAAAAAATTACTTTTCTCCAAAGGAGTCTCAGTGTGTATACAAACTATTCTTAAGGTCAGGCTCCATGCCTGTCAGTAAATGGCAAACACAAAACTAACTCAATGACAATACTGAAGATTCTTTATGTTATAATGCTTTGTCAGGAGTTTATTCTTTCCTATAAAATTTTTAAGGGAATTGTTTTTATTTTAATTTTGAAGTTTTTTGCTTTCTTTTTACAATTGTATTCTTAGGTATTTTTATACAGGTATGTAATGCATTCAGATTATTCTCACTACCACTCTCTCTTATCTCCTTGATTCCTCTATCAATTCTCCTAGCCCCAAACCTACAAATCCCCTTATCACTTTAATGTACTACTAGTTTGTTTTTATGGTGATAATCAGGGAGATCCATATGAGCACGTATCTGGTACTATCCATTGTGATATGATCAGCTCTCCAGTGGCTACTTTAATACACTAAAGAAATAGTTTGAAGTAGACCTTAGAAGTTAGAAAGATCTTCCAAGTTTGTTGACTAGAAAAATATGGAGCCATCCTACAGATAGCAATCTACAGATTCAATGCAATTCTAATCAAAAGTCCAGGGCCATTCTTTACATACTGTGATTCATATGGAATCACAAATGCACACAGATAAACAAGTGTGAACCAAAAGAATAGTGTTGAAGGTATCATTAGACCTAATCTTCAAGTTATACTATAGAACCATATAAATAAAAACAGCGTGATATTGGCAGAAAAAGAGAAACATAGATCAGTTGAATAGAATCAAGGGCTGATATATAATTCCTTGCAACTACAGCCACCTGACTTTTGAAAAACACTCGAAAATATATTAGAGAAATAAAAGCTACCTTCTAACAAATAGTATTGTGGAAACTAGATATCTGATGTAAGAATGAAAGTCTATGTTTATATTCATTTTCTACAAAAATCATCTTCAAGTGGATCATGGCCTTCAACATAAGGCCTAAATTCAGAAACTACTAGAGAACAAATTGGGGTGCATTCAAAATGTATGTGTAAGGAATCTCTAAATAGGACTGTGGTCACTCAGGAAATAAAGACAACAGTCAACAGAGCTGTCCTATGAAACCAAATTTCCTGTACATCCAAAGAAGTCAGGCAATTGAAAACACTACAGAATGGAAGAAAGTCTTTGCCAGCTATAAATGACAGAGAATCTCTGTCCAGGTTATACACACAAAAAAAAAAATCACAAAAAAGAGTGAGCAAGAAAATAAGCAACCAATTTAAAAAGCTTTGAAACTAAACAAAGAGTTCTCAAGAGAAGAAATACCAATGAGTGCTTGGGGAACAGTTTGAAAAGACTTCCTTAGCCATAAGGGAATTCATTTTTTTTTCTGTTTCCCTGGCATAAAATCTCACTATGAAGCTAGAATAATTCCAAATGCAAAACTTCTATGGAAGACTCTCAGCTTATCAGATTTCAACATACTTGACTTGTAATTACAATCTTTGGGGT